CCATCCTAGAAGACCGCTGCAACCAGGATCGACCCAGGGATGCTATTTCCAGTCAAACGACCCTTGATGAGGCGACCAGCTGGCAACAGAGACCACATTTTGAAGGTCTCTTGAGCGGTCATCTTAGACCGATTTCACTGTGCTATCTCATACAGATAAAGATACCGAGCGGTGGATCCTGCCAAGTTCTGCCGTTAACATTAGCGAACTTCCGGCAGAATCGCTGCATTCACAATCATGTTCACAAGTACATGTAAATTGCTGCATGGGCATATTCATATCATGTACCCGTACAAGCACATGTACACTGCTGTATGGGCATATTCATATCATGTACCCGTACAAGCACATGTACACTGCTGTATGGGCATATTCACATGTGCTAGTAAACATTGTACTACACAGTATTGCATGTATTGTAGCACCCTGCACTGTCTGTGTGTTTCCATATGCAGTTTGCAGTTCCCTTCGACTTTACTGTACACATTCACACTGTATGCATTCACCCCCCCCCCCCCCCCCCCAACACTGTTTGCAGACATCATGATTAGTGTTGTGCACGGGTAGTCGGGTGCCCGTGCTACCCGTGAGGACTTCGGGTAGACGGGTACAGAATAATACCCGAAAACCCGAAGTCGCAGATGACATGAAGGGCAGTAAAAAAGAAAAAAATATCGTGTCCGTTCACGAAGGGAACTCACGACGGCAGCCAACACCCGGTCAACTCTAGCGGCAGATGCAGCTCCTAACGGTGGGGGTGAGTAGATAATTCTCACAGCCACTGGCCTAAGTGCCGAGAAACCCCTTAAGGAATTAATAGAGAGGTTCCGGAGTACGATTTTTCGTGCTAAAATCAGTAGAGGCGCTACGGATTTTTTACACGTCGTTTTCCAGCAGTGAAATGTTCCGGAGTACGGAACTTATGTGTTTGCCGTCATTGCCTAGGTTACGGTCGCAAACACGTCACATTCCCGCGCTATGCTTTTTATTTTGAAAATTTGTACCGAAATCAAAACTTCCCACGGAAAATCGATATTTCTCGTACCAAATTCGTACGCAAAAAATCTTTCTGCACCCGATGACACAAAATCTCCATACGAAACATGGTTCGTATGAAAGCCAGTCCACACGGCCGGGTACGGATTCTCCGTGCCGAAAAATCGTATGGAGTACGCCTCTAAAAAATCCGTAGAGCCCATACGGATTTTGGAAGGGAAAATCGTACCCCGGAACCTCTCTAATAGCCGCATCCATGTACCCCTTGTGCCTGGCCACAAGTTCCCAGTTGACTGTGGGTAGCAGCATGGCTGGAAAATCCGCTCCCAGGCAGAACTTGAACCAGGTACCCCTCGTATCTCAATCATGGTCTTTGATCAACCCACTGTGCCTGCCATCAAGTACCGTGCACGTGTACAAATTCATGTAATACTCCGCATGTCTACCCAGTATGTAAGGGAAGGGGTGCATTGTGGTGTTACCATGGAAACATTACCCGATCCGGTACCCGTGCTACCCGTGGAAAGCTATCCGAACCCGATACCCGGAGAAAATGCTACCCGACTCAGCCCTATTTATTGTGCAGCTTTCCGAAGCTCTGATAGGCCATTCACACTACGCCCAAAACATGGCGTACGTGACGGTTTTGTCCGAATAGCCATGACAACATGGAACGTGGCGGGGAAAAACAGGAAACTCGAACACCTGATACGAAAACCGTAGACGACATATCCAGACTAGGACCCCTGTACCGAGATTCGTTCTGCTGTTCCCGGCAGTTTGTATAAAAAAAGCTGTACGCACAGCTGTAGGAAAAGCGTGTTTGTGCCTGTGTGAATGAACATGTGCTTGCATGAAAACGACGTTTGACAGTACGTGGAATTCCAAAACGTGACACGTATTGTAATGTAGTATGAACAGCCTAAACGGGATTACCGATTGTTTCATAAAATGAAACATTTCGCTCATATTTTGCTTCTGTTTGCTTGTGCATGGATGTGTGACCATGCACGTGCATGTATGTGTGCGTAAATATGCTGTGCTTGTGTTCATGTGTGAGGGCAATGTCAGTCGATAACCAGTCGATAGTCAGTCGATAGGATTGAATCTAATCGATAAGTAAATTGGGTCAGTCGTTTCACCCCTAGTTTCGGTATTTTCCACCAAAGCCTTTCGGCAGGGAAAGCCATCTCCAACACAATATTGATTTCAACTTTCGGAAAACAGGAGCATCTGGGCACTCTCCACATACCTTGAAAAAATATTTCCAAAACGAGACTTCTCAAACCCACCCACCCACCTCCAAACGAAAACGTTTTGTTTTGAAAAGCAAAACGACTCGTAACTTTGGATGTCGGCCCCTAAGTTATGAGTTTTTTTGTTGTTGCAGTGATCCATTCATGAAAGAAACGGGGGTTTGCCAACTGACAACCACTCTATTCAGTTGCTATTCACAATCTAAAAATGTGAAAAATTCTATAGCATGATGTCATTGTGACTGTGACTGCACACCCGCTGCATTAAAAATTCCTTTATTGTCATGTTGAAAATCAGTATTGACTTTTGGGCCAGTCGCCCATCGTCCGAACAGGTTCGATGGGTGACTGGCCCGAAACGTCAATCATTTTCAACATCACCATAAAAGCATTTTTAAAGCAGCGCATGTGCAGACTAGCAACTGAATAGAGCAGTTGTCAGTTGACAAACCCCCAAGGTTTCTTTCATAGTGCAGTTGCGTGATGTCCACAACATTCTTAGTGAGCACTCCATGTAACTTATGACAGAAACACTACACTGGTACTGCACGCAGGATGCTAATCAGTGTACTTGAAGCCGAAGTAGGTATAGTGCATTAGATCTAGTTTCACCACATGTGCCCTCTGGCCTTGCGCATTCACACTACGCACACCATTCACACCATCAGCCCTTTTATCAGGTACAGCACAGCTCGATCACATCCGGTCGTCGGCATGGTACTAGTATTCATTATGCACCAGTGCGTTCAGTGCTGCTCAATCAAGTTCGATTGCGTGAGTCGAGTTTACGTCCAGCACCAGTTCACATTCCAGTGTTTGCAGGCCTAGGGCTGCGCAGTGCCAGGCACATACTTGCTTCAGACGATCGGATTTCAAACAGCAGCAGTGTAGTAATGCCAGATAGAATACTAACAGTCGCAATAACACCATGCTACAGAAAATTCCACATTTTTAGCGGACATGGTTGCCTGTGCTACCCATGCTACAGTCACCTCCAGCCGTTTATTCATATTGCTGGCTACTCTGCGGTCATTCTGAATTCAGCACCCTGCCCCCCTCTCCCCATTCTAGCCGGTACTGGCTCTTCTGGGGTCATCATGCATTCAGCACCCTGTAACCCCCCCCCCCCCCCCATTCCAGCCGCTATTGGCTCCTCCGTGGTATCATACATTCAGCACCCTGCCCCCCCCCCATTCCAGCTGCCGGTACTGGCTTCACCGTGCCGTCATGCATTCAGCTCCCTGCCCACCTTCCCCTCCCCCATGCCCCTCCACCCTGCCCCCTCTCCCTGCCCCTCCCACCATTCCAGCTGGTACCGGCTCCTCTGTGTCATCATGCACTCAGCACCCAGCTCCCTTCCCCAGGGCTCCCCTCACATGCCCCTCCCCCTTCCCAAGCCTGCCCCCCCCTCCCTGTAACTCCCATTCCATCTGGTGCTGCTTCCTCTGGGGTCATCATGCAGTCTGTGCCCTACCACCTACCCCCTACCCTAACCCTTCCACTGGTCAAATGCTTCGCCGGTGTCCCATGTGTCACACTCACTCAATAATCTGTGCTACTCTCGCGACGACTTCCTCCTGAGTGAACGCTGCCAAGATGCACAGAAGCTCCTTGCAGCTGATCTCCTTCTGGTGGACGATGTAGAAGAGCTGACCGGCCACATTGTCGGTATTCGCTAGGCCGTGTTGGTTCTCCTTGATGTAAGTGGTCATGATGCTCTCGAAGTTGTTGACAAACTCACCGGCTGCCATTACCAGCTGCTTGGCCAGTTTCTCTGCAATCCAGAACCAGAACAAGAAAACAGTTTCTCTGTAATCCAGAACCAGAACAAGATAATAGTTTCTCTGAAATCCAGAACTAGAACAAGAAAACATTTTTTCTGTGATCCAGAACCAGAATAAGAGAATAGAGATAAGATAAAGAACATAGATCCACAGGATCAACAGGATTCCGGGTAAGACCTTCCAAAAAAGAAGACAAACTGGTGTCCTCCACCGGTCTCGTCACTCTCACCTCACGATATATACCTGAATGTGAAAGCCCATGACAAGATGAAAACTAAACAATACAAGTGCGAACACTTACTTCGTTCCGCAACAGTCAAGTACTCCGCCATCTTGTTTCCGAGATCAGTCAAATCGGTAAGTGTCACCAGCTTATCACTGAGAAAAAACAACAATGTGAGCACATGCATGTATGCATGCAGACACGTACACCTCAGACCTCAGACTTGCCCATCGCGGACATACATACATACACACACACACACACACACACACACACACACACACACACACACACACACACACACACACACACGCATATATACACACACTACTACTACTACTACTACTACTACTACTACTACTACTACTACTATGTACAGCTACCCTATCGGGCCATTCCGCTCCCAGAAGCGGGAGACAACGACAAGAAGAGAGAAGAGAAGAGAGAGAAATCGCAAAGTCAACAATATTTGGCATGGCGTTGCAAGTCCTGTTACCACACACACATATACACACATATGCATGCATGCACACACACATACACATGCACACAACCCCACAAACGTACACACGCACACGTACACATGCACACACACGGACACACGTACACAAGCATGCATACCCAAACACACACATACACACCCTCGAGCGGGTGAACACAGAGACATCGGAATAGTTTCCAACAGTATTATTAAAGAGAGATAGAGATAGATAGAGAGAGAGAGAGAGAGAGAGAGAGAGAGAGAGAGAGAGAGAGAGAGAGAGAGAGAGTGAGAGAGAGAGAGAGAGAGGGGTCGACGTCCAAGAGCTCCACGATCCAACAAATACCACGACAACATTCATTATTGTGTCACAAGTACCACGCACAATAGGTTCGATGGACTTTTTGCGTGCGTTAAATGGCAGTCGTGAGTCAGTCCCGTCAGCAAAACACTTTCAAATGCATAACATAGAGTTAGAGGGGGGGGGGGGGGGGGAAGGGGGAATGTCAGCTGACATTACTTTTCTCTTTCCACTTGCTACTTCTTCGGGGACGATGACACATCTGTTGTTCTCATCACCCGCTTGTATGATGTGCGGACACACGCAAAAAATACAACATCTTCCCAGTTTGAGGACACTTACAGATAATCACCGAATGTCCATAACAAGCAGGTGAACATAGCCAGGCAAAAGCAGCACTTCTTACACCAACACACTACACTATCCAGAGAGCACATAACCAGCAAGGGTGTGCAACTCCAATCTGTCGGGTCTGCGACGGCAAATCGTCACATCACGTCACAAACCCATATACAGGAACTCAATCTGCGAACAGAACTGTTTCGTCCTTTGTGGACTCATCAGCGCAGCACAGAGGAAATGAGGCCGAACCTGATAGCAATGAAAAATTTATTTTTCCAAAGCTAGATTTAAACCAGGCCCGACCATACCTGCCAAAGTGCTCAAACTGAGGTAGTGAAGGTAGTGAACGTCATTCAATATATTTTCATGATAACTCCTAGTGGTGTGCACGGGTAGTCGGGTACCCGTGCTACCCGTGAGGACCTCGGGGTAGTCGTGTACCGAATAGTACCCGAAAACCCGAGGTCGCAGATGACATCATGTACAGTGCACGTGTACAAATAAATCACGCATGTCTACCCAATGCGCAAGGGAAGGGGCCGGTGTGCATTGTGGTCTTACCATGGAAACATTACCCGATCGGGTACCCGTGCTACCCGTGGAAAACTACCCGGACCCGATACCCGAAGAAAGTAGTACTCGACTCAGCCTTAATAACTACAGCGTGGACCGTATCCCTACGTCGGGTGCAGCTTTCTGGCGATCACTTTGCACTGTTCACCAGTGTAACCTAGGGAACCATGCCACGTGATGCAAAGTTCTGCAATCCCAGCATCGGATAAAGGTTGTAGGGGCATTGGCACATTCTTGATGGCTATGGGTTCTTTTAGATATTTTTTAAATACTTACGCGTTGTTCAGGTTGCAGTACTTGGCCCAGACGTATTCCTCCGGTGACATGTAAAGTAAACTGATGGCTGCACCGCCAGTGCCTACACACGCTGCACAGATAAACAATGAAATCAGACAATGAAATCAGCTCAGTGACAAAAGAGAAGAGATTTATTTGCAAGCGGTTCATTGTACACGGATATACATGTATAACCGGTTCAAAACCGTTCTACCCGCGTTTAGGGAATTTCCCTTACCTGAGCCTGATGGAGTTGGTTCTCGGCGCAGGACAAGGTTTGAAGGGTCCTGTCAACAGTGGATCAGCACACAGATACGTGCAGGATAGTGAGTGGAAGTGCACACGCAGCAATCCCCCTCTCACCCCCCCCCCCCCCCTCCCCACACACACACACTCACACACGTGCAAGCACGCGCATGCACGCAAACAAACACACATACGCACGCACACAAGCACACACACACACACGTACACACACTAGGGGTGAAACGAATATACCGAACATTCGAATATTCGTTCGTTAGGCCACAGCGAACGAACATTCGTAGTTCTCACGAACATTCGAACTTTGAGATTGTGCGTACGGTACGATAAACCCGTAAAAACATTGCGATCAGTCACGATCGTTTCACACACGTACACCGCCTGCAGAATATGTGTAGCTGCGTGCTTGTGACCAGCGCTGCACCAGGTGGTACACGACCCGCGCGCGTGGTTCACGAACTGAACCGGCACTTGGCCGGAGTCGAGGCAACGACATGTAGACGAAAATCGGAACAAAGCATGAGTACTCTTAGATCTACATGTACTTACATACTTTGGCTGCTCGCTCTTCCTTTGACCACTTCGTAGTTTTGTTTCGAGTTCGCACTGTTCCCATGTCAGAAACTGTTTTCGGTCGTGCTCCCCGTTCTGTTGTTTGGGATCATTTTACCAAATCCGAGGATGAGAAGTCAGCTACCTGCAGGATTTCCCCGTAGCGCAAAACGGCGAGCAACCTCTATGCGCACCTGAAAACACAACTACGATAACTTTCAGCATTCTTCTGTCGTCTCTGGGAGTGCAGTTATTTCTGCGGCATCAACACTGAACAGGAAGCAAGTTGATGACAAACGTTGCTGTGACGCAACGTTCTGGTCCTCAGCAGTAGCAGTATGGCGTTGCTCAGTTGGAGGTCATTGTGCCTCAACTTTTGAAAGCATCATAAAAGTCGTACTGTAAAGTTGGAAACTTTCGCAAGTGATTAAATTTCGCTACTTTCGCGGCCATTGCGCATTCTGGAGAAGAAAAATCGCCACAAACTGCTCAGTACGTGCATTGCAGACAGCACAACTACAAGATTCAAAAAAGAGGTAAAAATCGAGAAAGAAATTCTCATCACAAACCAGCCGCATTCATGAAAACGCAAAATTCGTGCGCCACAGAGGTTTATTGCTACACTGTATTCAAAAATTCCACTATTTTCTTGCCTATGCCGGTTCGTGCGCGAGCACGCGCGTGCGACGAGAACGTTAGAGAATGCTCGTTCGTTCGTTCGTTAACATCAAGAACGTTCGAATACTCAAATGTTATGTTCGTTTCAGCCCTAACACACACATACACACACACACACACACACACACACACACATACACACACATACACACACACACACACACACACACACGTGACGGAGGCAAATAGCTGTGTAGCTGTAATTTCACGTTTCATGCAATTCAGTGATCATCAGACAGCGGCATTCACAGAGGATCGCTGAACTGCTGGTGTGTGTGTGTGTGTGTGTGTGTGTGTGTGTGTGTGTGTGTGTGTGTGTGTGTGTGTGTGTGTGTGTGTGTGTGTGTGTGTGTGTGTGTAAGGACTTGATGATACTGAGCATCCTTGGGGAACACCAAACTTCTGGAGCAAACACCACAGCGCTGGACGGGGGATCGAGTCGTATGCCTTTCGCAAATCGACAAAGAGAGCATACAACGGCGAGTCATGTTCGTAAGATTTCTCAATCAATTGCCTGGCAACAAAGATCATGTCTGCACACCCTCTGCCCTTGCGAAAACCAGACTGTGACTCGGGAAGCATCTTCTCCGAGATTGTCTGCAGCCGGTTCTGAAGAATCCGCGCAAACAACTTCCCAACGACATCCAAAAGGCTGATACCCCTCCAGTTATCACAAACTTTCAAGTTGCCTTTCTTAGGTATTGGAACATGAGTCCTTGCATGAGTCGATGGAGGTGAAGGTCCGCATCGAGGGCGGTGTCACTGCTGCCATTAACGTCAACAACGGTCTGCGTCAGGGTTGTACTTTGGCACCCGTCTTGTTTAACTTGTATTTCTCTGCAGTCGTTGGGTATTGGCGCTCCATGTGCCCGGACGCTGGTGTTGAGCTGCACTACCAAGTTGGCCGAAAGTTGGTTGGAGACCGCACTGCCAAGTCCCGCCTGCAACGTGATGTCGTCACAGAGTCCCAGTTTGCGGACGATGCTGCAGTGTATGCCACCACTAAGCCGATTTTTGATCGGTGCACGGAATTGTTTATTTCGTGTGCGGCTCGGTGGGGCCTCACGGTCAGTTTATCGAAGACCAAATGCATGACTGTCAATTCGCCCATGAATGAGCCGGTGTCTCTTGGTGAGAGCACCATCGAGGCCGTTGACAGTTTTACGTACCTTGGCAGCGTCATCCATCGGGACGGGCAGTCTTCGCATGATGTACAGTCCCGTCTCGCCAAGGCTTCGCGTGTGTTCGGCAGTCTCCGTGTCCCAGTGTTTGAGAATCGGTCGTTATCTCTCCGCTGTCGGCGCCGCGTGTACATCGCCCTTGTGCTGACGACCCTCCTGTACGGAGCAGAGACGTGGACGCCGAAGGCACCGGACCTGCGCTCTCTCAACACCTTTCATCACCAGTGTGTTCGCATCATCGTTGGCGTATCCAGGCGGGACCAGTGGGACAACCGCGTCACCTCGGTTACCATGGCCCGAACCCTCGGCATTGACTGTGACGTCGCGGACATCATCCGGGAACATCGACTGCGTTGGCTTGGCCATGTTGGCCGGATGAACGACGACCGCATGCCGAAGCGAGTTTTGTTTGGGGAGCTCCCTGCAACACGCCCTCGCCATGGTCCACGCAAGCGGTGGCGTGACGTCATCGTGGATGATCTCCGCTCCATCAGCCCCCCTGTGCCTTCTGACTGCTGGTTTGATGCTGCCCAGGATCGCTCTGCCTGGAGGCAGATTGCTCATCGTCGTCCTCCCGCCCGTGCTCCTCCTGATCCTGACTCTGGCTTCCGCTGCGCATGTGGAAAGGTCTGCCGTCGTTCCGGGGACCTCAAGCGCCACGCTCCGTACTGCAAAGCTAGCGGATAGTCCCTTTGCTATCATTGCCATCGGCAATGGGCACGTTCAAGGTTCAACGTTCAAGGTGTGTGTATGTGTGTGTATGTGTGTGTGTGTGTGTATGTGTATGGTGGCGGGGGCATAAACATGACTCTACTCTATACTTGGGAATATAATTGGCAGTATACACGTACAGTCTTGGGGGGTGATAATGGTCTTGGAAGGGGTATAGACGCTTGGAGGGGGGGGGGGGGGGGGATATACTCGTGGGGGGGGGGGGGGGTATAATATGCTCGTATAGGGGTGGGGGTTGTATAGATACTGTTGGTACATTTCCATGCACTCTCACCTGAGTCCATCTCTTCCAGAAGGACAGTCCTCCATTGGGGATCCTCGCCTCCTTGTTCAAGACGGGACACATCGGAGTCGTTCCAGGCTCAAACACGTCGACTGGGTTAAAAGCAGGTAGCGTGGTCGATGCACTTCCCTCTCCCGTGCGTAATGCACAGCACACTATCGCTCATCTTGCCACAACCGCATGCCACAGTCTCCTTCACAGCACAACAACCACAACAACAGACATGGATCATAAACACAACAACAGACATGGATCATTAACACAACAACAGACAAGTATCATAAACACAACAACAGACAAGGATCATAAACACAACACGTGTGATGATGGGCAATGTCGGTGGCTACCATGACAACAGGTGGACAACAACTGTACATGCACGGTGGGACAAGAAATAATCATCGAATGAAATTGTTCAATACTAGAGAAGAGCAAGTGGTAAGGAAGACTGTCCAGCCATTCACCAGCCATTCACTAGCCATTCACCAGCCATTCACTAGCCATTCACCAGCCATTCACTAGCCATTCACCAGCCATTCACCAGCCATTGTGGCCAGCTGTCTTTGATGGTACGGTACGGTATGGGACAGGTACGGGATAGCGCCAGGCATGCTGATGGTAAAAACAAACAAACACGGAATTAAAGCTGTGTGGACCCTGGCTAGCGCCAGACGTTACTGAAGTACCGTAAAAGTTCGTAAATAAGTACGTATTTACTTTCGAATTTAGTGACCACACCCGTACTAACTTTCGGGCGGGTACTGACTTTCGGGCATGAACTAACTTTCGGACCTGACTTGTGTGTAGTGGAGAAGTCATTTTCATGTCGATGTACATGGTACGTGCTGCATGTGCGCATCGTAACGGTACTTATTTCGGGCAGTATGTTTATCGGGCTTGACTTGACTTCAACAGACAGAGCCAAAAGAATGAAAGGGGGTATTTCTTTCGGGCAGGTACATATTTACGGACTTTTACGGTAACGTCTTTTGCATAGCTACGGGAGTAATGTGCCGTCATATACATGAAAGGACCAACATAAGTGCATGTACTTTTGTGTGCGGAAAGTCGTGGCACCCCCCTTGATCACTATCCTGCTTACGCCCCTGAAGTGTGAAATCTTACCCAAAGTAGTAGCCTCTTGTCCACCATCACGGATACCCACGTCTGGACTATGCCAGTGCCGGTGGAAGCCCTGCTTCATCTCTCACTGCGAGTCCTACAATGTTTTCGTCAAGCACAATAGTCTTGAAATTGGGCTGCGTGGGCAGACCCAGAACTCTGGTAGGGAC